GCCAACATTTCTTTGCATAGTCGGTCAAAGGGTTTGACTAACGAAATTAGAAGAAAAAAACTAACGGCAGGGGGGTATTTGATGTTTTCAATACTTCAGGGGGGTAAACAATATATTTATCATAGTACAGGGGTGCAAAATGAATTTTACCCTAATAATAATGTAAAAGTATGAAATTAAAACTAGAGTATACAATAAAACATTAAAATTCCTTCAAAAGTGAAACTATCACGGTATACTGAATTTTGATTAAAATCTCACAAGAATTTAATGCATGCAATTTGCTATGAGAAATACCATTTGCTAGTGGACTTTGCAAATTTTGAAGTATAATGATGCAAGTCGCTAATTTGCAATTATAGTCAATTTTGGGTGTGAAATGCAATTCACAATTCCCCACTCTCAAATTTTACTATTTTTTTTTAATTATTGAAATAGTTATTGATGTTGTTGGTTTTTTTTTTTTCCTTTGTCCCTGGCCAATTTTCATTATTCGTTAATTCATTTATCTTGAATAATAAATAGAATTTGTTGGATGGTTGTAGACTTAGTTTTATATAGCTCTTTGTCGTATCAGTCTAACCATGCATCATTTGTGTAAAAGACAATGATGTAGATATTTTTTCCCCAGATGTATCACTTTGACATAGTCTGACAATGCATCATCACTCTAAAAGACGAATAATGAAGAGATTTTTTTCCCAAGTGCAATATTATTTGTCCATTTCTTTAGTTTAGGGTGCATTACTCTCTGATCTCTTTTTTATTTTCACTTGTAGCGTATGAAATACGTTAGCCTATGGACTATGACATGTGGATTTCCTACGAGCTCACTGCTTAATCTTTTCGAGCGGTATTTCACATCAAAATGTCACTCGAATATATTTATATTCTATAATAAAAAGTTTAATAAATTTAAATAATAAAGTCCATAATTAAAATTTAATAAATTTAAATTTAACCCCATAATACTTATTTAAATTTATTAATTAATATTTATAAATATTATTCAAGTTATAAAAATTTACTATATCACAAATAAAAATAAAATGAATAATAATTACCGAATATTTTCTGAATTTCATATGTTTATAGTATTTTTTCTTTATTCTCTTAAGTTACTATGCATATATATTAAAATTATTGAGAAAGTAAATTATTTTCATCCAAACGACAATATTAACATATGATATTAATATTATAAATAATAGTTTTAATTATTCAGGCCCCAAGTATGAGAAGTAAATAAAAATGAAATTAACATTGAATCTTGATTATTTTGAATTAATATATTCAAATAAAAGGAAAATGAAATTATATTCTATCTAGTAATGGATTATTTTTAATAAAAAAATGGAAAATGAAATTACATTCTATTTCGTAAATTTTTTTTTGGCTAGGAAGTCAAAAATGATATAACTTAAATTAACATATTAAAAAATGGTAAATGAAATTACATTCTATCGTTAATAAAATATTTGTTTTATTTTTTATTTGGCTTAAAAGATAAAAAATAACAATTGTAATTAGTTAAGCTTCGAGTTTAATCATGAAATCCATACGTGTTATTAAGTACTATATAATTTATACTATGATGATTATTTTTTAGTAAATAAAATTTCCGTATTAATAAATTGACTAAATTAAATGAACTTCTTTAATGTTTTCTTTGTCGAGAATGATAAATATAATTTGATCTATTTATTATTTGAATTGTTAATCACTCAATTGACCATAGTCATTTAGTATTACGATTGAGTAACATAGGGGTATACTAGTCACCATATAAAAGGGAAGAAACCACCACCCTATTCATCCTTTTATAAATAGTAGGGCAAAGTACAGTTTACACCCCTGAACTATAGAGGTTGTACCAGTTTGCCCCATTGAACTACAAAACGTCCCAAATACCCCCCTATATTTAAATTTTATTTGTAAATGCTGACGTGGCACTTTGACTTTATAATTTCTAGCTATTTTTTATACATTTGGACATTTTGTGACTACTTTGCCCCTCTATTCAATTATTATATATATATATATATATATATATTAAAGCTTTTTCACTGAATTTTTTTTTTATGTTGTCAAGATTTTTTGCTCTATATTTTCGGGTTTATTTTCTCGTATTTCCGTTTTTCTTCTCATTATTTAACCACTAAAAGGCCACTGTTTTTTTCTTCTAAAATTTATTAAAATGTCGAGTAACACAAAATTTTTGTACTTCGTGGTACAAGACATCTTATAATGCACAAAAATCACCCCCAAAGTTATGCATTTAATTAAGGGCATAAACAAAAAATGCACAAAATTGAACAAAAGGACAATTAGCAAACATACTGAATCCAAAAATTAAACACAATTAAGAAAATCATGCAAACCATAAATTTACTTCGTCACAAATTCATAACAAAATCGACAAATACAACACGTATTAATTATATAATTATGAAGTTTCTTACAACAAACCCCCAAGGGCAGAAAAGTAATTGCACATTTAAATTAAAAGTGTTAATAATTTAATGGTTGACCATAAACTCGAGGGGGGTATTTGGGACGTTTTATAGTTCAGGGGGGCAAACTGGTACAACCCTTATAGTTCAGGGGTGTAAACTGTACTTTGCCCTATATAGTATAGATATAGATAGATAGATAGATAGATATATAGATAAAAATACTGGAATAATCCAGGCGCATCATGTGGATAGTACGAGGTATGCACGAGGCTTCGAGTTTACCATATCGAACTTTTCTGCTAATTTTCAAAATTTCATTGGCAATTTATAGAAATTCATTACCATATTTTGTTTTATAAAAAAACATTTTCAAGAAGTTTAATACAAATTTCTAAAAGGTCACTATTAATTTTCTACAATTTTTTGAAATAATCGGATGAACTTTTATCGGTATGAGATTTTGGCATACCGAAACTTCTTTTTACTTCAGGAGCACTCCTAATTCCTAAATTAGTACATTTGATGTTTGTAATCGCTAGTTATAAAACATCTGATGATGCTGTAATGAAAAATAAAATCTGTGTTTCGCAAGGAATGACCTAACGGTTGGAGCAAGTAAACATGTGTCACACATGGTCAATCTAGTGTGGTTTACGGCTCTCGTAAGATTTCAAGCTATTATACGAGATATAGACTTATCCAATACGCCTATATGGTTGGTTGCAGGTCTCTTCATTACACACACACACACAAAAAAAAAAAAAAAAAAAAAACCAAACAAAACTGTTTTGACTATACAATTTTGGGTCACAAAAACACATGGATACATTTTACATATGTATATGCTATTCGATTTTCCGGCCACACAAAGCATTGTAGATAAATTCAGTGCCTACAACGTTGTATTCGAAATTAGCTTGACCTCGTATATGTTCTTTTCTCCCTCCACTGCATATAAAAAAAACTCAAACGACGTTAGTCTGAAATACTAGCTCCGACATATAAAATCAAAAAAGTCATAACTCAACTCTATGCGCTCAAATTATCGAAGACTTACCGACTTCAGCAGTGATCCCCGGCCCAAAGAAAGACGTAAATTTCGCCTACCAATGTAAAAAAGAATATTCAAAGAATTAAGTAAAATTGATTATAGGTAATTGATCCATTGGAAGTGTTAAAAATTGAGTAGTCTCACCTCTCTTCGTTTGAAATCGGAAAACTCGAGAGCTTTTGCCTCAAACACCAACACCACAGAGTATTTACCATCCTCGGTAACCTTAATAATTACAAATAATAAATATTCATAATCTTTCCACACAGATGAATATAACACAATATTATAGAAAAGAAAAAAAAAAAAAAAGGATTATACTTCTTCGCGAATCCTTTGAAGCATAGGAGCACTCCTTCGCGGAATACCTCCACCCTACGTAGTTGAATATAAAATTAAAGTTTTCGATATCTATATTTTTTATTTTTTTATTCATGGATTTAAATCGATATTGGAATATACCAGGCCATATTGGAATATTCGCTTTAGGGCTTCCTCCAAGTGCTGCTCGTCTCCGTAACGGTATCTCGTGACATCATTTCTGACCTAACAAACAAGATGAAAAATGTCAAAAACCATAATTAGTTTATAAATAAAAACCTATGCAGCGGCATAGAACGAAACGTCGAAATATTGTGCAAGATAAATACGAGGCGTAAAAAAAAAGAAATGTACCTGTGTAAGAATTGGAGTAGAACATTTTTCTCTGAGGGCCTCGGCATCTGAATAGGTCAAGCAGGGTACAGGCTTAAGTTCTGCATACTAGAAAAAAACGAAACAAAGATGAACGCATCACAATCGAGGATATAATAAACAATCATCGAATAATAATAATAGTTTTTTTTTTTTAATGATTAGCCGGTATATCTTCTAACCTTGAGAGCCATGCCGATAATTGCTAGAGGAAATCCATAGGTCAACATCAATGCTGACCATTCAGATCCCGGGAGAATATTGAAATAAGCTCCGAAACCATACCTGTAAAAGTACAAGCGATATTTGAAATTTTGGTCGAGTTTGATAATCGAGTCACACATTTGACTATTTCATCAACACAAGCACATTATGAAATCTATTGGCCGAACACACGAAAAATTACTACAACATAGAAACTGGTTTTTTTGTAAATACGGTTGATACTGTAGATACGATCCATATTCATTAAACCTTCTAAATAGTGCAAAAAGATCATGAATAACACAAGGTATATATATAAATATATATACGCACACACTTACGAGAGAAGTGAGACGCCGACACTTAATCCAATGACACCGAACGAAACCTGGATAATTCATCAAATATCAGTAATTATGAACATAAATTGGTTAAAATCTCAGTTAATTTTTTTTTTGTACTGCATAAAAAATCTTAAATATTACATTAGCACTAAAATAAACAAGGAGAGAACATCATCTCAAAGTCCTATGTTTCTTAAAAGGGAAAATTACAGTTTTCATCCCTCAAGTTTGCACTGATTTCACATTTGGTCCTCCATGTTAAAAAAAAACACATTTGGTCCCTCACGTTCCAACAGTTGAACACTTTTGGTCATTTTCTTCAATTAACTGTTACTCTGTCAGTTAAGGCAGTAATGGGCTAACGCTTGATTTCGTCAGTAATAACGGAAAATTGACGGAAATGGCAAAAAGTGTTGAATTTTTTTAAATACGAGGCACCAAAATGTGTTTTTTGTGAAGATGAACCAACTCTGTAATTGATGCAAACTCAGGGACCAAAACTGTATTTTTCCCTTTATTAAAAACATTTGTGTTAACTAATTAAGGTAAAAATCCCAACACAGTATATTAAAAAAAAAATTAAAAAAAGAAAACCTAGATCAGATGTAGATTAACAAAATCCCACAAATATACAAAAACCAGAGAATGTTTCGAATAGAAGGAATTCGTACTTTGGCGAGCGAGAACTCGTTGTCGGGGACGGTGGGCTTGTCGGCAGATGTGGCGGCGATGGAGGACGGCTGAGTTGACTCGGCGGCGCGGGGGACGAGTCTGCTGAGTTTATGGATGCGATTTTTAAGATGGGTTATTGGCAAACATGGAGCGTGACGGTTGGGGGCAAAGTTTGTGCAGGAATTGGGTCGGCGAGACCCTAGAGAAGCTAACGAGTGTCGTTTGAGAGAGAGAATACAGGTACAGCCAGAAGCGCTAGAAAACGGCGACCGGAGAACTAGGTCTCCTCCCACCATCGCCGCCGTCGATTTCATTGGTTACTGCCGCCGTCTGGTATTAGTGGTAATCAAGTGTGTGTTTGTGTGAATATTGGGGAAAGGAGATGATGGGTGTACTGTCAGTTGGGAGATTGGAGGGAAGGGGGGAAATAACTATGGCCACTCAACCTGCCTGCAATCATCTTTAATGATGACGTGGCACTTGTGTTCTCTTCTATTTTTTTTTTTTTGGTTATTTATTATTATTATTATTATTATTATTATTATTATTATTATTATTATTTTTAATCTCTGATTTAATCGCATATTTTATGAAAAAAAAAGAGTAGTTTTAATTGTAGCAAAGAAAAAGGTGGGCTTAGCTTACTATGTGCACATCATGTCTAATTTCACCTCAATGTGTTTTGTAATCACTCACTCTTGCACACGTCCACATATTTATATACGTAATTGTGATCCGACATATTATCCGGTGAAGTTCATCGGGTGCAGGGTTTCATAAGTCGAAAAAGTTGTCCAATTGAGTGAATGAATCTTGAAAAATTACATATGGCAAATGTACTTAAATTGGCAAGCCATTGAACGTCTTTGTTCTTCTCTTTCGTAATTGCCATAATCGTGTTCTTCTAATTTTCTTATCGTTGGCGACAAGTTCCTTCCTTTGTTTCTGAAGCCATTTTACGTACGAGCAAATCAATGGCCACTTATGCATATTGTGAGGCCGTAAGCCATGTCTTCTTTACATCAATATGTTGGTTAGTAATTTTTTGTTGAACGATGACATCACATTGTTTCGATCCAACGATTTCACTGACATTGATGCAATATTTTCATTGACATTGTGAGATCGATGAGCAGGCTCGACAAAAGCCGAGCTCAAAACACATTTTTAAATGTTCTTTTATAGCTGACTCGCAGAATATTTTTTTCAATATATATAATATGCATGATAATAAAAAAAAATACATAAAAGAATATTAAATAAATACATACAAAATTTAAAAAAAATAGTTTTATATTTTTGATAATCATATACATAATTTATAAGTAAAAACATGAGTTGAGCTCGAGCTCGAGTTCAACAGATTCGACTCGATCTTAGCAAATAAAAAACCCAATAAATTCGAGCTCAAGCTCGAAATTTCTAGCGAGCTTACCTTGTTTACATCCTTACCAAATATGACTGAATTGTGTGCTTTCTATTGTGGCGGGCCAAATAGATATATCATATAGGTTCATTAAAAATGAAATAGAAATTTTGAATTTGGTCAAATTCCAATTCAAATATTTATGATTTTTGAACAAGTTTTTCTTTCCAACTTTTTACAATTCGATTTTCATTTTTTTCCAATTTTTCACGGAACAAAATTGCAATTAGTTGTTCACTTCTGAAAAAAAATGTATTCTTTTAGAAAGTCTTGATTCGAAAAAAATAAATAAATAAATACGTGGTACAAACAACATCCAGTACACATCAAAAAGCTTACTACATAACTGGAAAATGGAGAAAATAAACTTTCTATTTTATTGTTTATAGCAAGCATTAAAATGGCGTAGAAATGTAGGTGAAGAGGGATTATTATTATTATTATTATTATTATTATTATTATTATTATTATTATTATTGTTGTTGTTGTTGTTGTCGTTGTGGTCGTCGTCGTTTTGTTTTGATTTCTTCTGCCACAAACCCTTGAACGATGATAGGCATCCTAGACGACGTCGTCGGCTCCACATGCAGCAAATAATAATCATCCCTCTTTTCTTTCTCTCTCCTCTTTCTTCATTTCTTTCTCTCTCTCCTCTTTCTCCCATATCCGATATTAATACACATAACTCAATATTGCTCTGTGCATGGAGGGCAAAAAAAAAAACAACACCTTACATCATCATTCATCAACACAGCGAGGTGACGTCACATGAACGAACGTACACGTGCTCTTCTCACGTGGCCGGGCTCAAATATACCTTGTGGATTATTTAATCAACATTTTAAATCAAAAAAAAAAAAAAGAATTACCTCTGCCTGCAGGGATGATTTCTGTTTTTCACTGGAAGCAGGTGACGATGAATCTTCTTCAGTTTCTGTACTCTCGGTATTTCGCTTCATCGATCTTTCTTCGATCGAGGGTGTCGCCGGAGCTGGACTAGGGCTGCCGCCGCCGGAGCTCATTTTCTCAGCCGGCGGCGGCGGCGTGCTCTGAATTCCCACATCTCTAGTTGCTCTCCTCTTTTCTTCTACATTATTCAGAAAAACAAATTTTATACATACATACATACATACATACATATATATATAGTGTATGAATTAATTATGTGTACCTTGGATTGTGAATTTGACTTCATTTTCATGATGATGTTTAGAAGTGATTGGAGATTTGGGGTGAAATAAATGAGGAGGAGGATATATGAGTGGAGCAGACATAGTAATTCTGCTTGTAGTAATAATATTGTTGTTGTTAATTACGGATCTGCCACTAAGTGTTTTTGCTGATAAACACTCCAATGGAACTTCCCCTGAGAGAGGGTTACATATGTATTTCTCTGCTTCATTCCACTTTGAGTTCAGTGTTAATCCTCCATCCGGTGATAAGTATTCCCACGTGTACACAGTTTTCGCCTGCAATGCTGCACGTGCCAAAAAACAAGAGAATATTCAATTTGCACCAAGAAATCGAAAAGAACAAGATTTTTTTTTTTTTTTGATGTAATATATAATATTAAAATTCTTTACCTTTAAGGGCAGTGGTGAATGAATATGTTGAAGGGTCTATTTCATCTGCAAGAATATTTCGTGAAAAAAAATTAAAACTTTTTCTAGAACACCTTGACTGTGTGTGTGTGTGTGTTGTCGATTAAATGATTGATTAGTAGTTATACCTCTAAATGTGTAGCCAGGAGAAGAAGCAGTGCTGGAAATGGCTATTATGTTCGAGTTCTTCAAGCTTGACGATGAAAATCTTCTTGAATTCGTGTTTTCGCGGCTTATTCGGGCCTTGAGGGACCATCCACCAGCTTTCAGGCCCGAATCGACAGAGGATTGCTCGTCCGTGGTATTCATTATTGTGATGTGAAATTATATATTTTGAGTGTCTATATATATATTTTTAATATTGTAGCTTCATTTTGGCTATGCTATATTAATATTATATTTTTATATAGGGGTGGGAGGGAAAATTTTGAATTTTGAGTGATTTTGCAGAGTCAGCAGAAAGATGGTTGAAAGCTGTTTTTTTGTGAAGGAAAAAAGATTGAACAATTCAAACTTTAAAATACTGACTGCATATATTCTTTTTTCATTAACTTTTTATGCTGACATTTTCTTTATTATTCAATGGTCCCATTGGCATATACTGAATCAGGGGAGACTTTAATTCTGTGTGCATTATTATTATTTATTATTATTATTATTATTATTATTATTATTATTATTATTATTATTATTATTATTATGACAGAAATATGTCCTACGACGAGACAAAACAAGACAAACATTACCGAATTGTCTTCTAGAATTAAAAAAAATAATAATAATAAAAATAAAGAAAAAGGAGAAAATATAAAATACAAGTTGGTGATAGGTACCCATCAGGCTGTAATGCATGGGTAAATTAATTTGAAGCTGGGGTTTAATTGAAGACAATGTAATGTGTGGGGGCATGAGGACAATTACTGGACATGCATGCATGCAGCAGATACTATGGAGAGAGGGAATGTTTTTTTTTTTTCTTTTTCTTTTTCTTTTTTCTAATTCAATTTCACATGCATGCCACAATGCATCACCATCAACAATTTCACCAACCCATGTCCGATTCTGAAAGGCGAGAGAGGCGGTCGCCTAGAAACCCCGATTTTTGTAAGAGCCCCACGATTCGTAATTGTAAGAGAGAATTAATGCGTACACTATATAACACGCACCCGTTTTGTTACTATACGATATGGATATTACGGTAAAAAATGAGAAGTAATTATGTACCCTATAGTTTCAAATTTATGTAGAGTGGTCCTTGTGCATTGCAAAGTTTGTTTGTATTGAATATTGATATCCAGTACTTTTATGTATTTTGTCTCATGTTTTAGCCCCTAATAATTAATTATATTGTTTCTGTGTGCTGAGTAATAAATGGCAGGTTTTGAATATGAGTAACAACATATTACATATATACCATTTAAAATGAGTTGCAGGCCCACATATTATCTATACCTAACAAAGTGGGGCTCACATAAAACCTCTTACAGAACGAATAAATAGAAATATATTTATTAAAAGTCACAATTAAAATAGCAATGCTGTATTTTCCTCTAGGAGTATTGCTTTGTGATACATAATTTTCAGAACATGATTTTGATAATATATAATATATATATATATATATATGTTCCTTTCTGCATATTCCTAATCTCCTCCCACAAAATATAGAGAACACCTCCACACAACTTCCTATTATATCTCATTTAGCTTGGAACGAAAAACGGAGATCCTCCGCACTAACTTGTCACATTTTAACAAATCCGCGATAGACCAATTGACCTTCGGGCTGATTGAACTTCACTGCATTAGAACTAAAAGTCCGATATAAGCTTGATAGTTGCAGAGGGCCCACACATGAACTTCCATGTATAGTTTCACACCGGTATTTGCAAAACAGCCCGTGCAGCAGATTTCGGGCTGTAAAACAATTGACTTGATCTTTTAGAGGACCCATATTTCAGATTCCACCCAAAATTCATTAACAAAAGATTTCTTATATCAGAGCCTAGTGTTCTTCGACCGAACCAAAGTAAGATGTATCAGATGCCTGCAAAAGAAATTAATGATACAACACAATCACTAAAAATGTAAAACTTGACCTCATCTAGTTAAAACGTCTATCAAAGTAAACAAATCTTAAAAGAACTAACACCTTTCTGAATGAGCAGACGGCATCGGAGATGAAAATTGTAATAGATATTACAGAAAAAGAAACTTACTTTTGCCAGAGAGAAATTTGTTGAGGACCAGTTTAAGTGGCATACACCATTTAATCGGGTTCCAGAACAAAATTTGACCTATGGAAAAACAAACTTCTCAGTTAGTGATTATGTATATCATATGTGACAAACTATTTTAATGTGTATTTGGCAAGAATGATGCAATTGCCATTTTCGATGAACTTTCAAATGCAACAAACTTACCAATTTCAAGAAAAGAAACATCAAGCAGTTTTTATGAAATCGTGTAAGCGAACATGCTTCCTACAAAAGAGACGCAGAATATTTGTCACAGAAATGGAACAAAGGATTTAATACTAATAATTATAGCAAATTCAATAATTTAGTGATCAGTTGACGTTGAATTATAAGGAACCATAGATTTCAGTGGGAACTCATCGGTATGTGTCATGCCAGAAATTTACGTATAGGAATCAACAAAATCAGGACCAGCATACCTTGTCCGAGAATAAGCACAGCATTAGCAGCCAAAGGTACAATATCTTGTATCTTTTCACTGGCAAAAATTGCTTGTGTGACTACACAGAGAGAAACGGAGCAACAGTTTTTAGGTTGAGTGTGCAAAACACAAAAAATAGAAGCAGAATAATCAAACATAAGACGAGTTTTAGCAAAATTGTCTGATGATCATCATCGTCTCTTGACCTCCAAGAGCGTGAACCACTTAGATTCAGGTTATAAAGCAGAGCATTAAATATAAACAGTTACAAAAGGCGATGTCGGAGAAATAATAAGGTAAAAAACTACATTTGGATTTAGAAGCTGCAACTGCAATAACTATTCATTCCACATAAGAGGAAGAAACTAAAGAGACAAAAATCCAAATCTAGTTAATTACGAAAAAATCAATCTCATACAGTGTTTGCATTTGCGTAGAAGGATCAGTGTTAAAGAAACTTTCAATTCGATAGATGTAAGTACAGTTGCAAATAAACAGTAGGAACACTATGCACATTGGAAGAAGGGATCAGGCCTAACTAAGCATAAGATTACGTTTATTCACAAAGTCTCAATTGTTTCATTAACATATAATAGAGACACGAGAAAGTATCATAATACTTAAATGAGTTTTTGATTGGTTGCGTGTTGGTTTCACAACATTAACGAGTTTAGTACGGATACAACCCATAAGTTCCAACAAATAGATCAGACTTCATATAACCACCCATTGTCCACTGAACAAGAGCCGAAAATAAATCAAGTTACAACCAGAATGCAATGCCAAGATACAGAAAACGAGGCCATAAGAATAAGGAATCCGTACTGAAACAAATTTCTATTTCAAGGACACTAACATATTCTGCATGCAATCAAGACTCAAACTCTATGGAGAACGGTACGAACCTGAAGTTTGTATAAGTTTTTCCGTGGTGTCTTTCTTTTCAGTTTTATCAGGGGAAGTATCCATGTCAGAGACCATCATCAAGTGCACACTATGGCATCCATCTGACATCCAAATGGTTCGTGTCACTGCAAATTGGCGGCAAAATTAGGAAACTTAATCTTATAGACAGTAAATTGGTGACTTGAACTATCAAAATTTTTAATAGAAAATTTTACCTGTAGAAGCATCGTGAAAAACCGACAGCTTTACAACTTTCATGGTCTGAGTTGACCGCTTCATAAGGCAACGGTTATTTAATCCTTGGACAGAGTAAGAAAGGGACAAAAGGTGTACATCTCCAACATTGTCCAAGACTACAAAGCAGTTTGAAGATAATGCCTCGATAGAAATTGCCTTGACTGACCTACCAACCCTTTCTTCATCCTTATTATCCTCGAAAGGCACATAAAACGCACCCACATCTCTGGAATCTTGTCTCAATTTCACGGACCTCAATTTCTCTGCAAGTTAGAATGCACATAATCAACAGCTGTACCAAATCATAAAGTAAACATTTTCAAAAATAGAATAACACACGTCGAAAAGGCAGAAGGGCTGTAATAAATGTTTCAATGTCTCGAAGAAAAAAAAATATGCGCACAAGGTATACGTGTCTAGTAAATCTAGAAAATAATCAGCTTCCATAAGCATTAACAGTTTCGTACGGTTAAAGGATTATTGTCAGCTCTCTAATTGCTTAAAACAAATGTGTGCATACGATATTTACGATAAAGGAATTTCATATATATGTTGTTTACATGAAATCAATCTTTGACAATATGAACTAAACATATGTACTTGAACAAACAAACATAATCTCTTCATTAAAATAGACATTTGAAACAAATTTAAGCTCACCGTACAACTCATAACTCACCAGAATCAGAATGCTTTTCGGTTTTCTCACCCTTAGGTAACACATTTTTCGAATTGTATCGTTTGCCGTTATTCTTCTTCTCCTTCCTATGAATACCTCTAACCAGGGGCTGCAATGGGAAAATCCTAACCCCATTCTCTTCACCGAGAATCAGAACACGAAACATAACCCTAATTGTAAATACCGGCGAACAACAATCGATCACCGCACACTTCATGAGCTTCAAAGCTTCTCCTCCGCCACCCTCATCATCGGCAATCAATCTCGCGGCAAACAACCAAATTTTGGAACTCGAAACCGAGTACAACGTGAACACGTTAATTCCCCCCGACAACGCCATTGAAACCCCATGATTGACCTTGAAAACAACCCCGCACTTGCTCCGATCAAACTCCAAGTCCCTGTGATTGGAAACAACTCCGATTCTGCCGAAACGGCCGTCGCGCAGAATGTAGAAGCGGATGAGGGTGGAGGAGGTGGGGCGGAGAAGAGGGGAGGAGGTTAGGAAGAGAGTGGTGGTGGCGGCGGAGGAATTGGAGGTTGTCCGGAGGTGAAGGAAGGCGGCGGAGGAGGTGGGGGAGGGAACTAGGGATTTGGGGGACGGAAGAGAGGAGAGAGAAAGGGGAGAAAAAGAAGGGTAGAGAGAGAAAGAAGAGTCGGTGTGACGGAGGGCTAGGGTGGCGGAGAAGGGGTCGTAGAGAAAGGAGGAGATTTGTGGGGATGGAGTGTGGAGGGGTTTGGGGAGGCTGAGCTGATAGGCTTCGAATAATGGGGAAGAAGATGTTGACATAATCAATTGGATTCCAAATTTGGAATAAGGGAATTTGGATTTGGAATTAGAATAGTGTCAAATCGTTCGCCGGAAACGGATTTTCCGGCGGTTTTAGAGAGAGAGGGGGGTTTCTGGGTTTGAAGAAGAGAAGACAAAGGGTGGAAGAAAGGTACGGTTGAAGTTTGACTTTGGAGTTTTGCATTAGATGGAAATTAATTGGGGCATATTTCATATAATCCCAAAGAAGAGGACTTATTTGCACTCATAGTTTTTATCCCCATGCCTCCAATTCAAAATATCTCTCACAATATAATTTACATTAATTTCATTCACAGTGTCTCAACTTAACAAATAATTCACATTGACCCCATATTTTAACAAAGATATCACATTAACCAATTTTCTGAAAATATATTTGTTTTTCCAATGTTAAATTTTCTTTTCCGGAAAATGTTGGAATTGACCATCGGTCTCCGGCGTTAATTTTTTTCTTCATTTTTTTAACAATCAACATAGTAGTTTTACAGTATGAGGCAGTAATATTATTGTCTCAACCTACAATATTATTGTGTGAGATAGTATTAATAATATTGACACAATAACATTACCGTAAAGAGTAAAAAAAAATGTTTTTTTAAGTCAACGTCCGAGACTAGGAGGTCAATGTGGTTGATCAAATTTGGGCTAATTAGAGTTATAATCATAAAATTGGATTTTAATTGGAATTTAAATCTCAACAAATAATCCATGCTATCGGGTTAATGTGCAAACAATAATAACATTTTGAAGGGGAACATTCACTTTTAAAACAATGTAGGGGTTAAAGCGCAAACATTAGAAATTTATAGGGGTGATGTGAAAATTTCCCTATTAATTAGTTATTATCACAAGTCATCACTATCAACCCCCACAAAAAACTTTTATTACACAACCAAAAGAGGTAGAGTGCGTATCATCATCTAACTCTTTCCCCCACAACCAAATTAAATTCAATTTTTCCTAATCGGTAAAATTCGCGAGTGTGGCTCCGGGCTCACACGCCTTTGCCGCAGGCGACGGCTCCACCGCCGGAGACGGCGGCACGGGCTCTCCCAGAAGCTCCGACGGAAGGTCAGGTATCCCCTTCAAGTAGAAAGTGTAGAACAGCTTGAAAGGGAAGATAATCTGCTGCAGCTTCACCTGTCCGTACGCCCCCTCGAATATTCCAGATCCACCTGTCACCGCCAGACACGTGTCCTCGTACGTGAGGTACGGCCCCTGCACGGCGATGTGGCCGTAGTCTCCGAAGTAGAAGCTGTAGATCGCCTCGTAACGGTCTCCCTTCTTCTCCGGCTCGTTCTTTATCAGAACGCATATTCCGGCGGTTATTCCGGCCCTTTTCTTCATGTCCCCTGTGTACACCTGTAATAAAAAATAAAAAAAATCAGTTTTTTTTTTTTTTTTTTTTTTTTTTTTTTTTTTTTTTTTGTCAGCTTACCTTATTGCTGAAAGGGACAAGATCGCCGAGGGAATTGACGGTTTTCTGGCTCAACCGGAGATAAGCCGGGCTGCCACGATCACGCTCGTTGATTTCATATACATTCAGTTCTTGAATTTTAGCTGAAACCCAATTAAACAATTCTAAGACAAATTTAATTAACATAGATTAGATCGAACAAGAAATATATATACATACAGGATCTTGTGTCTGATGGGTCGGTGATCTGGGCGCTCTTGCAGGAGAAATGAGATCTTTGAGCGGCGGAGAATTTAAGAGGTTGAGGAATGAGAGGGTTTTTGATGAGTGGTCGGAAAGAAAGCAGTTTCTGGGCGACGGCGGCGGCGGCGGTGGTGGACGGTGGTAGTTTAGCGGAAGAAGTAGAAAGACGACTGGCCTTGAAAATGGCGGATGCTGATGAAGTAGCCATTGATTCTTGATTTATCTTTTTTGAGTTCTTGATGATGCTACTTTGAGTGGCAAGAGTTGTAATTTATAAAAGGTGTGGGAATTATGCAGACACTATTTGAGAATGTGTGTGTGTAATAATTGTGTGGGGAAAAAGATGGTAAACATACATAGTATATTTATAGTTAGTGGGAATGATGTGGTGTGTGATTGATTTTTGGTAGTGGTAGGTAAGTGTTCAATAATATTGAAATAATGGTGTGAGGGAAAAGAAAAATAAAATGAAAAAAATGTGTGCTTTAAGCTAAGCTATTTTGAGGGTGGTGTTATGGACGGTGACGGTGTTTCACGTTCGAGGATGGGGCAAATGTGGACTCGTTTCTTGTAAATCGATCGAATCGAATTCAAAATTCAATATTTGGTATGCAGTATTTTTTTTTTTCTTCTTTTCATTCCAATATTTGATACAGTATATGGTATTGATGTCTAGTAACCGAACGATACAATACAAATATTTGAAAAACATGAAATTCCAGTACCGTTGTTTGGTACGGTATTATCGAATGAAGGCACTAACTTGGTCCAACCGTCCAAGTATTGGAGTTCTTCTATCTTTATTAATATGTGCACGTGATTCTTATTTTTCAAATATTGGACCTTGTATATATTGGTTTGTGAGAGAACATTGACCAATAATATTAATTTCAAATTATCCATCCCATGTGCATAATTTAAATAACTTCAAAATTGAATTATCATAATTCATAATATTTTTAAATTCACTCGTTGCTCTCCAAGACTTTGTTTATTCTGCTATGACATTTGACCGCCGCATTATGTGTTCACTTGTGGTCAACTTTAATGTTTAACAGTCTCCGTTTCTAGCTTAATTTCATTGGTTTATGAATTATTGTATCGTAAAAATTAACTAGGATGGTTTCAAGTAAATCAAATATTTTCAAATAGAAATTCAAATTTTCCAGTCAATTCTTTTTAATTTTTTGTAACATTGACCGGCAGTATGAACTTCGAACTAACCATCTAAGAATTGAAGTTTATTATATCAACTCTTGGGGCTTTGGAACTAGAAAAATTGGACTGGGGGTTCAACAAAGTCCATTAACACATGTAAAAATACTCTAGCCTTCAATGCATTTTCTTGTTTCTTCAAACACTGATATCATATAATTGAATGAAAGAAATTTATCAAAAAAGTCGTTGTAGTATAGTGGTAAGTATTCCCGCCTGTCACGCGGGTGACCCGGGTTCGATCCCCGGCAACGGCGATTATGTTTTTTTAATTTATGGGTACAATTAATTTGAAATTTACCGAAGTGGGTTGCTGATTCAAAACCCAAGTCCTTTGACACTGCTTATAGTTAAAAAGCCCAAATCGAATAAATAAACATTGTTACTAAGCTGGAAGCCGGCCCGGCCCATCTATTTTGCAGGTCAATGCACAGTATTTGATGCGTTACATGCATTTAGGACGGTTTGTATCAAACACAATAAGACCGATCAAATTCAAGATCGATGTTTAGTTTTTTCACTTATTTCATCTTTGACACCCTACAAAATAGTTTTTTTTTTTTTTTTTTTAATATTTTCTACTTCTTTGTATTACATATCAACAATTAATCTTACTATTTTGAAAACCTTTTTATTATTAAACATTTGTTTTACGATGAATAACTACGGGTGTAGTACTAATATTCTAATTAAGTTAAAACACAATGATTATATTAAAAAAAAAAAAAAAAAAAATTAGGGGGAGAAGATGAAGGCCGATCAGTTTTGCCTGTGAACAATGTAATTGGCTAGCTCAATCAATGGAGCAGCCTTTTCAGGATTAAACCCTAGGAGTTGTTCTTGAGCCTCTTTATTCAACTTGTGAGCATAATCCCTCGATTTATCAATCCCAATCAGCTTCGGATAAGTCATTTTATCCGCCACTTTATCCTTCCCACTCGTCTTCCCCAATTCCTCTGAACTTTTCGTCAGATCTAGAATATCGTCCACCACCTGAAACATCAGCCCTGTACATCTCGAGTACTTCCTCAGCCTATCGATCTCCTCCTCGCACGCGCCGCCCAGCACCGCCCCCGCCACCGCCGACGCCTCCACCGACGCCGCCGTCTTGTGCAGGTGGATGTACTCCAGCTGCTCCACGCCTCCGCCGCCGCATTTCAAGTCGGCGACCTGTCCGCCGACGACCCCCTCCGGTCCGATCAGCCGCGCTATTTCGCCGACGACACGGACGATTCTCCCCGGCGGCGCCGTCCCCTGCGTGGCGGTGGCGATGTGCTCGAACGCGCGGGCGAGTAGCGCGTACCCGGCGAGAACGGCGGCGCGTTCGCCGAAGACGACGTGGCAGGAGGGGCGGCCGCGGCGGAGGCCGTCGTCGTCCATACAGGGGAGGTCGTCGTGCATCAGAGACATGGCGTGGATCATCTCGAGGGCGCAGGCGGACGGCATCGCCGCGGATTCGTCGCTGCTGACGAGGCGGCACGCCGCCAGGCAGACGATGGGGCAGATCCGTTTGCCGCCGGACAAGAGGGAGTACCGCATCGCTTCGTGGATTCCGATGGGGTTTGCGAGTGGAAGTGCCGAATCCAGAGCCTGGTTAACGGCGGTTACCTTTTCGAGCATGTACGCCTTGAAATCGAATCCATTTGTTTGACGATTGGAGGCGGAAGAGTGTGAACTGAATCGAGATACCGTTACTGTGTGATTTGAAATGAAGAATGATTTGATGAAGCTGTGATTTGGGTGATGAAGTAAGGTAGACGAAGAAGTAGATATGCGTTTCATCGGAATCTTTAACAGAATATTCGCGTAGATATTCATCGTTGAGCTACTAAGTAATTTCAGATTTGAATTTATTTGTCAAATTTAGTGGAATCGTCATGTCCTTGGGATTCCATTTAGCAACACCGTAATCTCGTTGTTAAACTGAAAACAATAACATTAATTGATGAAAAACTTATAGTTGACCGTCACATTTGATCGAGCAAATTTTCGTTGACTACCCAATGTGTATAGTAGACTACCAATTTTTTATAGCTCACGTTAAAAAGTTGTACGTCTAGGGGCGATTTTGCTTCTTAAAGGCGTAACTTTAGATCTGATGATCGAAATTCGACGATTCAAACACCATTGGATTCCTTACGTCGAACTCTTCCTTTTGATTACAATTAATACATGCTTACAAGTTACAATTGACATTAAAAAAGAATTATTATTGAAAGTAATACCGATGGCCGGAGAATCAAACTTAGTTATGTAGGTAGACTAGCTGCCAAATTTTTGACCAAAAATGCAGCTCCATAGACTTGGCATAAACTACTAAATTACGGATACAAATCCTCATTTTTTGGTAATTAGAGTCACTTCAATTATAAATTTTCTTACATGTCCACTCTTATGGTGTCAAATTCAATATAATTTTCTAGATTCCGTAGAATAATCTCTAATTTGTACTCGTTTTGTGCTAAAATATTGTTTATGATGCACCACAATCTGATACTTACAAGCCAATTATCATCTTATTTCAAAATGTGGAGCTTGAATGGGATAAACGGATACATGTTAAAGAATATTCCACATAATCTAAAAAGTTCTACTAGATTTGACACCGCAATGATAGACGTATAAAAAGATTCATAGCTGAAAATTGTGGTTATAATTATCCAATGATAAGAGATTTTTTCATAATTTAACTCATCTGACATACCTTGATAATAATTTACCCTTAAAACCTATTACCAATTCTATTAAAAGATATACATTAACAACCAAGAGGAGCTATGTCATAATTTAGTCTTATCTCCTAATATAGCCTATATATAATATTCACACAAAAAAAGGGAAAGGAACGAAAAGGACAAGAAAACTACATCACCCCTTTCTCAGACATAATAAACAAATAAAACTAACCTAATTGACCTTCTTGTTTTTCTTCCTAACTTTGCAAGGAATTTTTGTTTGCTTTTCCAATTTAAGTGGGAGTAAACCCTTAATTTTGACAAAATAGGATGGTGCAAAATTAAACAGAAGAAATTCGGTACACTACTTTTTTTCTACTAATTAACCCAATTAAAAAACATAAACATAGGACAAATTCCAATTTTCCCCTTTACTTTGGCTCGATGTCATTTCACTCTTTTTATTCTCGATTGCATCAATTTCCCGTTGTGCACTTGAAAATCTCAAACCTATGACTTTAACCCGTTTGGTCGAAGATCTGAAATTACAAAAACTCCACCCCTTCACTAACAATGAGGGAAAAGTGAAATTTGCCCTACAACAAAATACGAACAATTTCTCAATTTTATACTAAAATGAAGTGTGTCTGGAGGGGGCCAAAAGGCCCAAAACAGAGCTTTTCATCTAGATAATTCAAACATTGTTGTGCATTCAAGAATCATGATTTTCTTGAATTTAATTAGTATATATAGTATAAACTTTATAATAAAACTAAAAAAAATTCAAATTTTCAATTCTCCCTATAAGCAATGTAATTAGCAAGAGCAATCAAGGGAGCAGATTTAATCGGATCAAATCCGAAAAGCTGCTCTTTCGCCTCCGTGTTCAATCTCTCCGCCATCTCTCTCGATTTCTCGAGTCCAAGAAGCTTCGGATAAGTCGTTTTATCCGCCACCAAATCTTTTCCGGCGGTTTTCCCGAGCTCCTCCGACGACTTCGTGACGTCAAGAATATCGTCAACGACCTGAAACAACAGCCCGATACACCTCGCAAACTTCCTTAATCTTTCCACATCTTCGTCTCCGGCACCGCCGATAACCGCCCCCATAACCACCGCCCCCTCCAAAAGGACGCCGGTTTTATGGATATGGATATACTCCAGAAGATCCAACCCCACCTCCGACGACCCCTCCGACGAGATATCCACCACCTGTCCGGCCACGAGCCCCTCCGAGCCGACGCACTTGGCTAATTCTCCGACGACCCTGATAATTTTCTCCGGCGGCACGCCTTTCGTGGCGGCGACTATGTGTTCGAAGGCGAATGCCAGAAGCGCGTCGCCGGCGAGTACGGCCACGTCCTCGCCGTAGACCTTGTGGTTGGTGGGCTTCCCACGGCGGAGGTCGTCGTTGTCCATACAGGGGAGGTCGTCGTGGATGAGCGACATCGTGTGGATCATCTCGACGGCGCAAGCCGCCGGCATCGCGGCGGATTCGGAACCCCCGACGAGCTCGCAGGCGGCGATGCAGAGCATCGGCCGGACCCGTTTCCCTCCGGCGAGGAGGGAGTACCGCATCGACTCGTGGATTCTGACGGGATCCCTCATGAACACTGCGGCTTCCAGCGCGGCGTTGACGGCGGCCGCCTTCGCGAGCATGTATTTCTTGAAATTGAACGGCGGAGAGAAGGTGGTTTTCCTGAGATCGTCTTCTTCCTCCTCCTTGTGTTCTCTGGTGGCAATGGCGGCCGAGATTGAGAAACTAAGGGGCTGTTTGGCGGCGGGAGGTTTCGAGAAAAAGAAAGAATTGGGGGGCGGCGCAAAGGGGGCCGATTTGGATTTGGTGATGTTGACATTTTTTGAGGGTTTTGTTTGTGACCATGTTGTAATAGGGCTGAGGAGGCTCATTCTTGCCGGAAAGTATGCACTGTAAATCACTGTGTGTGTGTGTGTGTTTTTTTTTGAGTTAGAGAGAGAAAGTAGGAGAGAGAGAGAGAGAGGAGTGAGAAACTAAGGATGAAGAGTGTTGTTTAATTGGGGTAATGAAAACAGTTCTATGCTGATTCACGTGCTGATGTCATGCACTTAATTAAGGGAATCTTTTTTTTTTTTTTTTGACAAAAAACAATAAATATAAATGAAAATTTTAATTAATTTAATTAATGGGTGTTTGATTTGGTTTACGTATTAGTTAATACTAACAATTGGCCGGATTTTGGTTGACATTAGTGTGTGAAATAGTCATCAATATGCATAGTTATAAGGAAATCCAAACATATCTAATAATTAAATTACAATATCGTTTAATAGCAGACGAATAAACAAAACACGAGAGACGTAAACCACACTAGATGAATCATACGTGAGAAACGCCACCTAGTGATCGTTGATAAGAGAATTCGAACCCGAATTAACTGATACAGACTCACTTGCGGAACACTTTTCATTCTTCTTATATCACTAAGTCATGGTTTTGGCCAATTTTCTTGCAAGTTAGAGGAGCTCCTTTCAACACTTCACCTTTTCTTTTAATTCCATTTTGTACCTTTTACTCTATCCAATTAAGAAAGTGCACCCACTCTCTTTTTATTGTTCTCATTTTAAGGTCTTTTTTAATTTTGTCATAATGCTTGGAATACTCTTTTTTTTTTATAATTTTTTTTATATATGTTATTTATTATTTTGATTATTATGCCCTTGAAGGACTACAATAAAGACAAGAAAAAGAAAAAGAAAAAAAAAAATTACATACATCTCTTTTACTCCTTAAAAGCTCTTACCAACCACATTATTGATTTTGGTAGAACATAAATTAGTTGCTATTCTGCGAGGTTGGTTGCTATTTCAGACCCAAAAGAAGAAGAAGAAGATATAAATCGAATTGAATTAGAAATAAAAGAATGATAAGAAATAAATAGGGGTATTCTCTCGAATTGAAGAAACAGTGAGGGGGCAAAGTGCAATTAATTTCTTTTAATAATTTTATTGTTGTAGGCTTGTAGTATTTTCAAGGTATGACTGCACGAGTAATCACTACAATCTATATAATATATAAAAGTTGAATTGCATAGCTAATTGATTGACATTTGGCAATTTCAATTGATGACATGTCATCAATTTCATCCCATGTGGCGAATTGATTGGTGGAAATAAATCATCAAAAAACATGTCATCATTTTCCAAAATTAAAGGGAATTAAATATATTTTATTATTTTATTAAAATATTTATATCTTACCATTTATAAAATGCTCTAAATATATCAACTTTCTTGGAAACCCTAAAAAAATTTATTTTTTAATTTAATTTTATAATTAATTTAATTTGAATTTAGTTAAATTCGATTTAAAATATTCCGTTATTATAATTGCATAATTGGTGGTGTTACGATTTTTTTTGAATTTTAATTCATAAACTTGAATTTATTAACAAAAAATATTGCATAATAAGTTATTTGAGGGTCCATTTGGATGGAGGGATTTGGGGAGGGATTTGATTTGGGGAATGGATTTGAAATGACTCAAATTTTGGAGTCATTTGAAATCCATCACTATTGCTCCAAAATCAACTAAAAAGGAGGGGTGTGGATTTGAAATCCATCTCCAAATCCCTCAATCCAAACAAGTCCGAGGGATTTGTTATTATGGATTTGAAATCCCTCCCCCAAATCCCTCTAAGTTATTTGATATTAGACATTTGACATGAACATGACTAGAAAATATGTATATTTTTACTAATTTAATATTATATATTAATATAATCTATATAATCTATATAATATATGAAAGTTGAATTCCATAGTTAATTGATTGACATTTGGCAATTTCAATTGATGACATGTCTTCAATTTCATCCCAAGTGGCGAATTGATTGGTGGAAATAAATCATCAAAAAACATGTCATCATTTTCTAAAATTAAAGGTAATTAAATATATTTAATTATTTTATTAATATATTTATATCCTACCATTTATAAAATGCTCTAAATATATCAACTTAATTTCTTGGACACCCTAAATAAATTTATTTTTTAATGTAATTTTATAATTAATTTAATTTGTATTTAGTTAAATTCGATTTAAAATCTTCCCTTATTATAATTGCATAATTGGTGGTGTTACGATTTTTCATTAATTTTAATTCATAAACTTGAATTTATTAACAAAAAATATTGCAGAATAAGTTATTTGATATTATACATTTTACATGAACATGACTAGAGAATATGTATTTTTTTACTAATTTAATATTGTATATTAATATTATCTATATAATATATAAAAGTTTAATTCCGCACCTAATTGATTGACATTTGTCGATTTCAATTGGTGACATATATTCAATTTCTTCCCATATGGCAAATTGATTGGTGAAAATAAATCATCAAAAAACATGTCACCATTTTCCAAAATTAAAAAGATATTAAATTATTTTATTATATATTTATATCATACCATTTATAAAATGCTCTAAATATATCAACTTTCTTTTAATTTAATTTTAATAGTAATTAATTTAATTTAAATTTATTTAAATTCAATTTAAAATCTTCACGTATTATAATTGTATGATTGATGGTGTTACGAAAATTTTGTATTTTAATTCATAAACTTGGATTTATATAAAAAAATATTTCAGAATAAATTATTTGATATTATATATTTTACATAAACATGACCAGAGAAAATGTTTATTTGTTTTACTAATTTAATATCATATTCGTAATTACCAAAATTTTCCTCATGTTGTTTTCGTCTTACATCGACCCCCTTACGGTACGATTATTCACGGAATTTTTTTTATGACGTGAAATATTCCCCGAAAAATGCAGATTCTACCCTGCACAAGACATTTGTTTATGGTACTTTTTAAAGACAAAAATTACCCTGAGGGGGACTTTACACGAAAATATTTATTCTTCTTAAATAACATCGCTTCACAACTTTTTAGTATTACTATTATCTCCCCTAAGGCTAATTTTGTATTTACAAAGTAAGATAACAGAAATGTCACGTCTTTTGGATATTACATGGAATAAAAAAGATTCCTTAAACTGGGGGTACTTTCCGTAATTTAGCCTAAGTTCATGAGGAGTTTCGCAATTTATCCTATTAACAACGATTGTCGTTCTTTTCACGTCTTAACGTTTTCTTATACCCTTATACAATTTTAAATAATTTTAATGTCAGCTTGATAATATAATTAAATATTAATTTCTATAATATTTAATATGTGTTTTTGATGTTTGTGGTACCACACATAAGGAATTTGATATAAAAGTTGCGAGATTGAATAAAATTGTTTTTATACAAAATAATAGATAATTGCAAACACATTGATGCAAAATCAGAATTAGGATTGTGATTAGTATTAACATTAAAATTAGGATTATAATTATTATTCTTTGAATTAGTATTAGTATTAATACTATAGTTAGGATTCGGATTAATATAGTATTATAATTAATATTATGATTAGGATTATCATTATGATTATGATTAATATTAGTAATTGAATTATAATTAAGATTATGATTATTGATTAGTACTACAATTAGTGACATGTATTCGTATTATAATTATGATTAGTATTAGGATTAGGATTATGGTTAGAATTAAAATTAGAATTATAATTATAATTAACATTAGCATTAGCATTAGTATTATTAGTAATAAAATTATTAGGATTATAATTAATGTTAGAAATAAGTTTAGGATTAGAATTATGTTAGGATTAGAATCATGATTAGTGTTATGAATAGGATTAGGAATAGGATAAAATTTGGATAATATTAGTATTACAATTATAACTAGCATAAGCAAATCCAGATTAACATATTAAAATTAGTATTACCATTATAATATGTACATTAGCATTAACATTAACAATATTAACATATTAGTATTAGAATTAATATAAATATTAAGATTAGTATTAGTATTAGTATTAATATTAGTATTAGTAATAGTATTAGTAATAATATTAGTATTAATATTAGTATTAGTAATAGTATTAATATTAATATTAGTGTTAATATTAGTTTTAATATTAGTATTAATATTAGTATTAATATTAATATTAGTCTAATATCAATATCAATATCAATATCAATATCAGTATCGATATCATTATCGGTATCGACATTAGTATCGGCATCAGTATCGGTATCAGCATCGGCATCGACACCGGTATCGATATTAGTATCGGTATCAATATTAGTATCAATATCAGTATCATTATCATTATCAGTATCAGTATCAATATCAGTATCAGTTTCAGTTTAAGTATTCGTATCCGTATCAGTATTAGTATCAGTATCAGTATCAACATTTGTATCAATATCAATATCAGTATCAGTATCAATATCAATATCTATATCATTATCGATATTAGTATCACTATCAGTATCAATATCAGTATTAGTATCAGTATCAATATCAATATTCGTATCAGTATTAGTACGGGTATCAGTATGATTGTGAGTATCAGTATGAGTATGAATATCATATTAGTATGAGTATCAATATTAGTATAAGTATCAGAGTATGAATATTAGTATTAGTATTACTATGAATATCAATATGAGTATCGATATTAGTATCAATATCAATATCAATATTAGTATTAGTATTGGTATTAGTATTAGTATTAGTATTAGTATTAATATTAGTATCAATGTCACTGTAATTATCAATGTAAGTATCAATATTATTATTAGTATTAATATCAGTATTAGTCTTATTCTTAGTATTAGTATTAGTCTCAATATGAATATTAGTATTAATTTTAGTTTTATTATTAGAATTAGTATTAGTATTGGTACGAGTATTAGTATGAGTATTAGTATTAGTATCAATATTATTATTAATATCAATTATTATTAATATTTGTATTAGTATTAGTATTAGTATTAATATTAGTATTAATATTAATATTTGTACCATAATATAGATAGTATAATATCAATATCGTATAATATCAATGTAAGTATCAATATATATAGATAGTATCAATATATCTATCATAGTATAGATAGTATCAATATAATATATATAGTATG